CCCACCCCCACCGCCATTCACCAACCCCCTCCCCCCACTCCCGTTTTTCAGCTTGTGTGAGCATGGGTCCCGCGTCGACCTGTGATTTCTACGGCCCGCAAAAAACGAGCATCAACGGCTGTGACTGGAAGACTTTCACCAACGGGAGTCACCCAGAGACGGACAGGCTGTGGGAGAAGCTGGAGAAGAACTGTAACCTGGACGGATTCTGCAGGTCAGAGAGGTCATGATCAGGGGTCAGGTCAGGAGTCACGGGGGTTGGTTAGGTCAGGGGTCATGGGTGTCAGGTAAGAGAGGTCATGGGGCGTCAGGTCATGGGGTCATGGGGGTCGGGTCAGGGGGTCAGGGGGTCATGGGGGTAGGGTTTCATGGGGGGTAGGGATTCATGGTGGTCAGGTCAGGGGTCATGGGGTCAGATGGTCATGGGGGTAGAGGTTCATGGGGGGTCAGATTGATCTGGGAGATCAGGTGGTCATATGGGGTCAGATGGATCTGGGTATGGGGGGGAGGGGGGTCACGGGATCAGGGGTCAGAGGTCAGGGGTCATGTGGTCATATGGCTCCAGGTTAAAAGGGGTCAGGGTTCAGGGGATATGGGGGCCATATGGATCAACCCATGGGAGGGGGGAGCGAGAGGGGGTGGCAGATGTTATATTTAGAGAAGTGGCGGGGGAATGGGGGTCATCTAGTCAGACCGGTCAACACGGGAAAAAATAACCTTTTTCTTTTCCATATTGTTTTTATCATCGAACGGCCCCCTACATATTACAATGAATGGTAATAAATTGTCGCTTTTAAGAACAAGCGGGCTGTCCCAGATTTCAGCGGTTTACAGAAATCTTGACCTACACTAAAAAGTAGGCACTGTCCTACCAAGTGGCGGTGGGTAGTGAAGGGCTCACGGGCTTGAGCCCCTATCCCCTCCCCACCCACCACCCCCAACTCTGTCACAAAATAAAAGAAAGTTTCTCCAAAATGAAATAAGCAGTTGAAACCGTTATGACCGCACGTAATGAACACAGAGCTTACAGAGGGATCAACTTGGCGGCTTGCTCGTTTATCCAATCAGTGTTGGTACCCCTTACAACTATAGTAACCTAACAGCCAATCAAATGTCTTTAGGGCTCAGCAAGGGATGAGCCCTTTCCAGCGATCGTCCTTAATGAAACTCTTCTTGTAAAAAGGTAGACGACTGGGAAAAAATAACACTGTACCGAGGGCTCACGCTCTCCTAGCCATGACAATGGGGTGAAAGTTTACGACACACTTTCCCCGACTGACACAGATACCTATGCGCTCATTGGTTCTTTATTGGGTGCGTTCAACTTTCTTGACTACACGGCCTAATCCGGCTCATAGACGTAATATGTTTGAAGTGCTGTGTGTGCAAGTTTGTGTTTGTGCCGCTGAGATTTAACATTTATAAATCAGGTCGAACTACTTTTAAGGCAACTTTTTCATCACATGAAAACTAAAAAGAGGAAATTAGGAGGTGAATCAGCTTCGTCCCCACCACCAACAAAAATTTAACTAAGAACAAAGAGATGGAAAACAAAGGCAACTCTTCTCATTTGAATGGTTTTCAAAATGCCGTGGCACAGTGTGAGTATAGAAAAAAAATCACTGTTTAGTTCTTATTGCTTGCTATTTGGTGGAAAAGAACTAGAAGCAACCTAAGCCCTACCCAAATTTGATCCACCCACCGCCAGTATATGGCCCTACCTAAAGAGAAATTTGGTTTCATTGACCTATATATATCTTGGTTATAGAGAAAACCCTCCTTGTCTTTAAAAGAAACTGAGTAAGGCGCCAAAACTTTACTTTCGATTTTCTCAAAGCAGCTTTTTTCGGAATAGCCCCATTGTGCTTAAAAGTGACCAGTTAATTAATATAATTCCATTTCTGTAATTGTCACTAAAGTCGACGTCTGTTTTTCTTGTTCTCATTCCTCCCCAGACCTGAATGCCGAGAGATCACGGACGAACTGAAGAAACACCCGTGCATGCAGGGAGAGGTCGGCGACCTGGTCAACTTCAGGCTGGTCAGGTCCCACGAGGGGTCACAGTTTCTTGGACGAGTCCACTCTTGCCCCACGAGGGGCCAGGACCCCGGGGGCGTAGACTGCCGCACTCAGTGCGCAGACGTCTGCTACGATGACGTCAGAGACAGCGCCCCCGGAAGTTCCGCTATGTTTGGGGTGGTCTCCTCCTTGTTTGCTATTGTCCGACTCACCAGTATGTTGTAAATCCGCCAATCATGCAGGCTGCCTGCATCAGGACGAGGCAGGCAAACATATGGGCGATAACTTTGTGGTTTTTAAAGCAATGCCTTTTGCATCGGTTTATTCCCCTGTTCTGCCGTATAACGATAGAACTGAAAAACGTTGAGAAATAAAGTCGCAACAAAACCCTTATGTTTAGAACTAGAATAATTATGTTCACTTTGAATACTTGTTCGTTGTGTTATTGTTTGTACTGTCCTGCATAAAGAGGATCAGGAAGGTATGTCTGCTAGGGGTGGGCATGTACCGGTACCCAGTGCTGGAACTCCCAGTTCTACCGAAAGAGGTGTCAGTACCGGTACCTGGTTTCCAGTACCAGCTCCAGGAAGGAGCCAAAACCAACGGTTAGTACCGGCTCTTTAACAAGTGAATGATAAAGCTACTCAGGATCTATTTAATTGGACATACAGGGTCACTACGAGGAAATGTAAAGGAGAACAAGACAGAACCCAATTGGGGATGATCTGGGAAGAAGGCGGTAGTGATGGATGGAACATGCTCTAGGGAAGACATCATCACCATTGCCTTTCTCACCCTGGATCATGGTATAAGCCACGATCAAACACTTTCCACCTTCCCCTGCCCTGGGGTAGCCTCTTGATTTTATTCCATATCTTCCCAATTTTCTGTACATTAATTCGCTTAAGGAACACAGACGGCTGCATAAAAAGAAAGTGTTAAATTGGAACCCACAGGGTAAGAGATGAAGGAGAATGCCATGTATAATATGGAGAAGACTTGCAGAGAACGGTGTTAAGAAAAGTGAAAGGGACTTGGAATGATATCTAGAAGATAGCTCTAGATAGGGAAAAGTGATTGTGTTTGTCGGTTCACTATACCCTAACAAAGATTCTGTATAATAAGATGGTTCACTCCTCTCTTTGAACCAATTAAAAAAGTGTCCTCAAAATCTGGTGGCGTCCTCTTCGAAAAAACGCCCACTTTGCGAACTGGGTTTCCCTACCTGTGTGGAAAAAAATCCAAGTGAAACTAGCAAGTTTTTGTATAAATTATAATTACAATTTTGGAATAACGCCTTTTTAAAAGGTAGCTTACGCTGACAAAAATCCTCTTCAGGTGGAAGGACGATTTGTTTGTTTTAGAACGAGAGGGGAGATGTCATTAAAATAAAATAAACCCAAAACTCTGCACTGAGCGAACCGGAACAGCTGATGCCCAAGGGTGTGCTATTCTTCTTCTTCTTCTGGAGAAACGAAAGAGGGCTTCAAATCAAAGACTGCACCGACATCTACAGCGACATCTGAACCAATGCGCGGACTTCCGCAGACACTTTTTTGGTCGAGGGAACTATCTTGTTATGTACAATCTTTGACCCTAATCAGGGTGCGAAAGGCAACGATGACATACATAGACAAGCCAAAATTGAGAAATGTTGTAAGTGGTGACGTCATCAGGAAGGAAGCTGGGTCTACCTCTTGTTCTCACGGGGGGCACTGGGAGGATCGAACAAAAGCATTAATCGGCCGCTTTTAAGCACAAAGGGGCTATCCCGAAAAATGCTGTTTTGAGAAGATCGAAGGTAACGTTTTTGTCCCTTGTTCAGTTTCTTTAAAAGAGAAGGAGTTTTCTCAATAACCAAACAAGCATACACACCAATTAAACCAAACTTCTATAGGTAGAGCAATGCCCATTTTTTATGTTGGTCAAGATTTCTGGAAACCCCCGAAATCTGGGTTAGCCTGCTTGTCCTTCAAAGCGACCAATTATTTCCCCTTGCCATGGGAACCACACTTGTCGTCCATCGCATTCAGATGCACACGATCAGAGGGTTTGGACATCTGACACGTATAGTACCTCACCAGCCTGCCAGTAAAGTCTACTACAAAACAAAAAATATCAGGGTACAAGGCAAGAGGAAGACCAAGGAAGACCTGGATCGAGGGTGTGAAGGATACCCTGAAAACACACATTATTCCACCCAGCCAGGCCATCCAACTTGCTAGAGACAGAAAGCTTTTTCTCCATTCAACACCTGTAGTGCGTTCAAAAATTCGTGGCGTAACTTATTGTCAAATATCTCCTTTACTATTGAACATATTTTCTCCAACGTTTGCAAAATGACTTATATCAATTTGTCTTAACTGGTGAATTTTTTTTATCAAATACCTGTACATTGTATTCTAGAAAATTTCTTAATAAATACTCATAACTAATTAAATGAAGTGATGGTTTCTACAGCTTTTATCAAGTTTACAGCTCGAGCAATATCGCTTTTAAAAGCAAGTCTGTCTTTGTTTTCGAATCCCAACTGTATGCTTATTGAACGTGTGTTTTGAGAACCTTGAAGAAAAAGGTAGTTCACTATAAAATGAATTTCTTGAACAAGTTTTGCCACTAAAAAGTGTCATTGGTGAGCTGTGACGTAGGCTATGATATGCGTATGCAAAATGTGTCCAAGATGCGGGAAGTGCTGTGAACAATCCCATTTTCCGTGTGACGGAGATTTATAGTATTTTATACAAATTAATGAAGAAAAGTTTATTTTAATCTAGCCTCTATTGTTTTGCAAAAATATGATTAAGTTAAGACAAATTGATACAAACTGCTGTGCAAAGTATGCGTGACGGTGATTCACCCGTTTAACCCTATCCGTACGTCGTGTTTTACTATCATATTAATATCCATACAACGTGCGGAACTCTGTGCCGCCACTTCCCAAAGAGGAAATGTACTCGTTAGTCCGATCCGTACGCTTTGCATAGCAGTCAGTCAGAAAGATTTTTTTGAGAAATATTGAAACTTCGTACCAGAAGTATTCTAAAATGTGAGGAATACAACCCTGGGGGTACGAAATAACCTCAGGGCATGCGGATAGGGTTAAGAGATATCTGAGGATAACTGGCGCCACGAATTTTGGACGCACTATAGAGGACTTTACTTTTTACTTTTTAAAACTTTTATCTGCCCCTTATACCCTTTTGGGTGTCACGGAAAGAAAGAAAGAGACGTTTCTCTGTCGTCAGCCGCAGAGCTTGGGTCAGTGTGATGCCGTGGGTGGTTAATGTTTCCCTGACTCCATCTGTCCAGGTCTTTCTCGGTCGCTTTCTAGAATTGTTGCCATCGAATTTTTGGATGCGGGCTCGTTGGGCTGGATGGAAAAAATAAAATAGAGGACGGATAAAATAAGAAAAGAAAGGAAGAGCCATGATAGCTGATGGGGTCGTCTGAAGTGGGGTTTGATGGGTGGAAGGAGAAGATTGTTTTGATTTGTTTTTTAGTAGAGGGTTTTACGGCGCTCACAACTGCATAAGGTCATATGAGTGCCAAGGGTGGGTGTCAGCACAGAAGTCTTTACAGGGAATCAGGCTTACTCTGTT